AGCGTTTCTTAATTGTTTTTCATTCATGGCCTCTTTTGATCACCGAGATTTTTTTTCGTGATCCCAGATATTAAATATAGAATAAAGGTAAAAAAATAATATTTTCTCATAAATAGTTTATTTCCTTAGTATGCAGTATAGAAATGAAAAGCAAAGCAATTTTTTGATTTGTTTGACGAAACAAAAATGATTGAAAGAAAATTATTTTTAAATGAGATGCCCACGTGCTTGTTTTTGTTGTATGAAAAGTTAAATCTCGACGCTATATTTTTATACAGCTGAACGTAAAGCATTCTCAATGTTAAGGTGAATATTATCTGGATTTTATAAATTTTAAAGCTTAAAAATCGTTTCAAATACGTATGTGGTTTCGAATGGCATAAGAAAATTGAATGCCATTTCAGAAATTATGGGTAATTCAGTTTTGACTCTGATCCAGAATTCAATCAAGGACTTTTGTGAGAACTCAAGTTTTGAGTTATTCAGTAGCAGAGAAAATTCTTCTTTATCTGTATATGGAATGCAATTAATCTCATTAATGTGATTTAATGGATGGGTTTCCTTTAAAAGTCTCACAAATCCAATTTCTTTAAATTTCCCCGGATGCCAAGATTTCGCTTTGCTACCCCATTTTGGGGCCTTAAGAAACACTGCTTTAGATAGATATCGGTATTGCATATATGTCTTGTCGTAATTAAGTAACTTAAATTAGTTTAAAACTAATTTAAAGAAAGAAATTATTTTCTTTCCTTTTCTCTTCCTTGTTTTAAATTCTACCATAAAACAGTCTGTAATCACTTTTATTATATTAAGTAATTAGATTTCAAGTTTTGTTTCTAATCCCGTCATTCGTCTTAGTTACATTCGTTCTTTCCTGAAATATGGTAGGTAGAAACTAAATAAAAATAGTTAAAAAATTAGTTTAATACGATTAATTGTCTCACTTGATTAAAATTATTTGATGCCTTAATGTTAGAGGTACTCATTTTGTTATTAGGTGTATTTAACAATCAAAATAAAACACTTGAAATAAAATAAATTAAAATAAAACACTTGAATTTAACATAAAAAACTTGAAATTAAAATAAATTAAAATAAAACACTTGAATTTAAAATAAAAAACTTGAAATTAAAATAAAACGCTTGAACGTTCAGGATTTACTAATATTATATGGGACTCGTCATTTTGACGTTTTTCGGAGTTCATGAGCAAAATTACAAAATCCGTTATTTTTATAGTTTTCAAATTTATGCTGACAGCTATCGATGCAGTGAGACATTACTTAAATGTATTTCCCCTTCAACCCTTTAATTTCAGAGTTTTGTATTATGCATACCTATCTCTAGAGATACCGATCAAAATGACGGGTAAGCAGTTCCATAGTTAATCGCAGTAAACCGATTATTTTAAAAAATTGTTTCTCTGGTGACAAATATAAAACTAGTTCGAAAGTAGATACTAAATAAAAATCATAATTCAACGGAAATATCTTTCGATAACTTCGAACCCAATATCAACGCACCGGAATTCGCTAAAGCAAGTGATATATCCCGTGTGATTATCTGTCAATCGTATGTTCCTGAAGCGTAAACATAAAGCGTTAGACTCAAAACTAAGGAACGATCTGCAATCGTTGAGTTCCAGTCAGTATGTCAAGATGTTTTAGAAAACATTTCAGTCAGTGTGAGTAGAAATGATCAAGAAGAAAGTATTAGATTATTATGAGAATTAGCAATATCATTATAGAATTAGAGGAAAGTACAAGTTTTACTTTATTCTGACGAAATACCCTTCTTTAATCATCATGAGTAATTTAAGAAGAGTACTGAATTGCTAGGGAGAATAGTTAGTATCCCCGAAGATTGCTCTGGTATGTCTGTTAACAATGAAACTGCCGTAGTTTTTTACACCGATAAAAACATCTATAAATTCGCCAAATTGACGGTCATCGGCAGTTCTAATGTTAAGATTGTAAATGTTTTTAAATTAAATTTATAAGGTGTTTCCTTTAGCCTTCCAGCATGCCTTTATGGTGTAACGGTAGCACACTCGGCGCGTATTCGAGAAGTCCAGGTTCGAGTCCCGGCGAAGGCAGTGCACATTTTTCACATGTCTTGCTTCAAAATAAACTAATGACTCTACAAATGGCTCCCGAACTCTATAATATTTTAAATAATCTATTTTTAAAAATAATTGTTTACCACCAGGATTTGGCTACATAGTTCCCTAATTCCCAGTCGCCCTTTAAAAGGGGGAGTTTGTAAGGTATTTTCTTTCTTCTTCCAGCATGGCTTAGGGGTGTAACAATAGCACACTCGGCGTGCATTCGAGAGGTCCAAGTTCGAGTCCCGGCGAGCGCATTGCACATTTTTCACCTCTCCTGCATTAAGAAAAACCTAATGTTCTTCAAATTAATCGCTTTTTAAGAAAATATGTAATTTCCTCTACCCGTCAATATGACGAGTGTCCATATTTATAGGTACAGAAAAATATCCGTAAACCGAATATTAATAGCTTAGTAAGCGGGCGTTAAAATGTCTTATTAATGTCAAATCACACATTGTAATATCAATTACGCAGAGCAGATAATTTTTGGCTTAAGCTTTAGTTAAACCTTTAGCTTTTATTATCATGCCCAATTAAAACAAAACCTTTGAAAGTTCAGGATTCACTAATATTATACTTTGTTGACATTTTTTTTTCAATAGCGTGCTCTTGCCTATGCTGGCATCCACCCTAAGGCTAGATGTGGTGGTCTCTTTATTATGAAGGCACCTAATAAGTGGGCCACTTTTACTTCCTATGAAGGGACAGACAATTTTTACATCCATGACTTCTTCGCGATTCGAACCCGGGCCCTTCGGTATCGCAGTCAGGCTCCCCTAACCACTATACCGTCTGTGCGGCACTTTGTTTAACATTTCCCAGTCGATATAGAAGAAAAAAAGTGTGCATGCTAATAAAGCAAGACATCGCCAAGAGTCAGTCATTCAAATATCTTTCTTACGAAGAAATTATTCAAAACTAGTAATAACATTATGTCCAAGCGTACCAGAAAATACTAGATTCTAACAGGAAACTTGGCCTCAGTCAAAAATATTACAGTAGAATTTTTTCACAGGAACATCAGGTTTATTAGTAGTAGGAGATATATACAGTAACTTTTTTCCAAACAACCCTTTCTTAGATTTTGTGCTTCGTAATGCCTAACATCGACTTCATCGAATTATTGCGAGAAAATCTAGATTACGTTCACTGTAATAATGAATATCAATTCATAGAAATGTTCTATAAATTTAAAAGTAATAGGCGTATGCACTTTATTTTTAAACGCTTTTAAACGCAGCTTCAGCCTTAATCTCGTAACCTCGATGTTATGCACTCCACCCATACTCTGAAACAAAGAGCACTGCGTCAACGCCTCTTAAAATGTTTCCAGGATATTTATTTAAACTGAACGTCTTTTTCATAAATTTACCATTTCAATTTTTTAATGTAGGAACATTAAGACTAGCACTTATATATTTAGTCATTAAAATAATTCTTCTAATGTTTAATCATTTTCAATGCTATGCAATTATATTTAGATGCATTTAAGTAATCAGGGTTAGTAAAATTAGTTAATTATTGCTATATTAAGTTCACGCATCCAAAAACACTCACAGTTCACGAATTAGCTTAAAGATGTTGCTTTAAAGAGCAACTTGTGTAATAAATGCCGAAATACTAACTCAGAATTCATTACCTGAGATTTATATGATACAGCTTATATTTATTTTACAGTATATTTTCTGTTTCACAAAGATGACGTAAAGGATGATGTTTCAGATCGCTGATGACTGAATTCAATGGTTGAACGATATTTGTATTTAAGATTTTTGGGTCTTTGAAAACAAGGAAATTATATCACAGTTCGTGTTGATGCACAAATAATTTTAAACTGAGTGTGAAACACTTATAGATTTTGGCTGATTTGGAGACAAAAAACGTTTCCTTTTAAATTTGATGTAAATTATTTAACAATACCATAAATTCTAAATTAAAAACCAAAGCTTGTAAAATAAATAGTGATAGATTTAAGATTTTATTTCTGTATTGAACTCGTTAATATCGACGAATATCTTCCAAATAATTATACTAATTCTTCGTCAGATTTTGTAAATGAATCTTTTATTTTATGTGTTTAATTAGTAGCTGAATATAACTGAATTTTTAAATAATCTATTTTGATAAAAAGTAATCAGTTGTTATTTAGCATTAGTATAGTTTGGCGCATTTAATTTCTCTTTTGATAATTAACTTTGATATCACATATATTAAAACTAACTTAAACTAATTATAATGTGTCATTCTAGAGATCAAATTTATGAATGAGCATAATATGTAAGTTTATTTCTGAAAAAGTGCTTATAACGTAAATTGTATACTATCAAAACGGAACGTCCTAAAACGTGCTCTGATTACCAGTTGCTGAGTAATTAAAATAGATTGAAGTGGATTCGAATACTAGCAAATGGTTTGGCTGTATAGGTTTCGTGGACTTTGCATGTGTAACGTAAATAGAGACAGTTTACTCAGAAAATCGTCCACGGAATCATCTTCAAGGACGACAAATAACCCTTGTGTACTTTGCCATTTTGAGAAACAAATAAAAAATTTCTGTAGACTACTTTTTTATGGAAAATAAAAATCATATATAAGTTAGAAAAAAATATACCGTACTTTGCCCCTCATAATCAGATTCTTCTCTAACTAAATATTAGCGAAATTACCAGATAAAATAACATTTGCATGTAAAATTCGATTTACGACCGAATACATTAATTAAAGTATTAATTAAAGTATTATTGTTTTATGAACAAATATTTATATCAATGTGCATTCCTCGTGGAATGAAAGTAGTAGTCTTTAGAAAAGTGTTTATATGTATATCAATTTTGAGAAAAGTAAAAATTGTTTGAAAATAAAAATTTTACTCTTACACATTATTTTTTCGTAGGCTTTTCATAAGATCAAATCAGTAGAATTTTTGAGAAAATGAATGGACATGCAGAAGTGAAAATGAATGGTCATGGGTCAGAAAAGATGAATGGTCATGTGGAACAATCCGAAATTAGCTCTTCTGAAAAATTCGAAGTCTTGATGAACGGAAATTGCGAAGCTGCCAAAGAAACTCTCCCCGTTGCCAAATCCTCCAAGAAAAAAGTGTCTTTCCATGATAATGTGACCGATATCGATGCTGACCGTGAGCCCCCCATTACAGCGAATGGAGATTATGTCGAAGACAACCAAGATGAAACAAAAACCCTGCGCGACATCTTAAACATTTCTGAAAAGATAAACTTCTTTAAAAACGCTTTCTCTAATGGGGTCCAGACAATAGATGATAATGGTCATAAGCCGCATGGTCACCAGAGTTCGATTCCGGAGGCCAGATTAGCTTTTGTGGCCGGTATGGTCGACAGGTCCTTAACAGGAAACAACTCGCGTGCGGACAAGAGGCGGAATCATGTTGATTCTGATGTGACGAATGGCGATGGAAGTGTAACGAAAAAAGATGAAGAAGATACTGAACCGAAAACTAAGAGCGGTTCCTTCGACACGAAAGAGGTGCCCCGCAGTCCAGAAGAGGTAAGACCTTCTGAAGGTGATACAGCCTCGGACATGGCGGCTACAGAAGTGACATACCTGAAGGTGTTTGCTACACAGAAAATCAAAAATGGGTTCACAGAACGTAAGTTTTTATTTTTAATAACTTTTCTTTTTAATTACAATATATCTGAAGTGTTTCTAGATCTATTTTTTTTATCTAAATTTGAAATTGACCAAATATTATGAATAATTTTTTAAAATAATATTACTTACTACTACTATACTTTTTAAATCAGTTCTGAATCCATTTTGTGAAACATTTTGCAATGCAATTTCAATATTTAGATGCTGCTATTTATACTCTATAGTATGTTGTGCAGATTTCCTAAACTATTAAACAATTACTCAAAATTTGTTTGTTATAAGTACTCGCATTTTAAGAAACAAATTTTACTCTCAAAAATTTATATTAATATGAAGATTTGATAATAATTTAAGATTCCAAAAATTCAGCAGCATAAAGCAAGAATTGTTTGCAATAGTGTTACCCAATAGTAATTGTAAAATAATAGCAGCGTATATTATTAAGTGCTGAAGCTTTAAAATCTTTCGAAACATCATTTCAATTGCTGATAACAGAATTTTTTCGAATTTTATTTTCTCTTTTTTTACCGAATCTTTTAAACAGGGTTTAAAATAGACACTGAAGAAGTGTTATAAATGTTCCAGGAACAGCAACTAGTATTGTGCATTCATGACAGTGTACTTACAATCATTATCTTGCTGGAATTAGGAGTTATTTTAAGCTAATTTTTTTTTTTCCGGAATCTATTAAAATTCATTTCGAAGTTTCTGAATGCTTAACCTATAACATTCCCAACAAATGCTTAGTTACGGTTTTAGCGTGTGATGTGTACTCCCATATATCTCTTCCTCCGTTATATTTTACCATTAGATTGACGTAGAATTTGTTCCTTGACATCTGGCTATTATGGTTCGTAAAAAGGCTTAATATTTTACCAATATATGAAATAATAGATAGTAATTTATTAATAGTAATTTTAATAGTAATTTTAATAAATACATTTCTACTGAAAGTTTGGAAGCACTTAGAAATTCGATTATTTTAATACTTTTGATAGTATTGCAAGATAGATTAAGATAGATGTTTATAAGATATATTTCACACGATTGATTTCATAATCTTCTAAGTTTACTTTCATTTTGAATGCTGTGTTTATGCGTAAATTTCTTAATTTTGAATACTTCGAATAATGTTTAATTCTCTCAAAAATTAATGATTCCTTTAATGCTTTAATTTAAATTATCGCAGACTTTCCTAATAGAATTATATTTTCTTCCTTGTAAACAAACTTTGCATCTCTCGCGTTTTTTAGGTATGCACTTAAAAAAGAATGTTTTTGAAGACGTTATTTATCACTCTGAGGCAAATTAACGCCCTAAATTTACATTTTTGTATTGATAGCAGATGGATATTTTTGCTTATTAGCTGCATACCTTTGTAATGTAATTTCTGTGCTCTAAAAATGATCTTGAATCTTGAGCTAAAATTTTGTGCTTTGAAAAATATTTGAAGTAAAAGAGATTAAGTAAATACAAGTTTGAAAGGAAGACTTTATAATTTCAGGTTATGCATTAGAATTATCCGATAATTTTCATGCGACATTGATTTTATGCTCCATGCCCTGTATATTTGAACCCAGTATATATTAACTTGTTGTAATACAACAATTATTTTGCATTCTTTCCGTCTTCATAAAAGCGATTTGTCATAACCTTAGTTTTATCACCTTTAAACGTTTTAAGCTAGTACTCACAACCATAATTTGATTGTTTCATTCTAGTAGCAGTTTCTTGCTTCTTGTTTCCCCTTTGTTTCAAGCAAAATATATTACGATGGTGAAAATGCCATTCTATTGGATTCCATTTGTATCCAAAATAGAAACGTCGTTATTGAAGGTAACGTAAATACAAGTTGAGAAATCGTAAATTTTTAGCTGAGAATGTATGGATTCTTAAATTTATTTGAAATATCTCCAAAATGATAAAATTAAAGATAATATTAAAAAATTAAAAATATAAAAAATCTCAAATTAAAAAAAAGAAATGCAATCTGACGTTTCTATTTGGATCCATTTTAAAGCCTGAGACTAAATGGTGACGATCCAACAATTAAGATTCCAGTAGCCTCAACTACAAACATAAAATCATATACGGTGCATCTCATTTCTTTTTAGACACTTGTAATTTTAAAATTTGTTTACATAGTTCTTGTTCTAAATACTGAAATACAGTTTTTTTATAATATATTATTCTCTATTCTAAGTTTTTCTGGCTGTAAAATAAATATCATCAAAATATTCCTTATATGAAAATAATTTGTTTGAAAAGTGTTAATTAGTAACAAAAAGTGCCAATTATTAAGTAAATTATTGGTTAGTTCAGACAAGAGTTTTGTTTAGAGGTTTATCTTACACAATGTTTTTAATTATAATTTTTCATTTTAAATCAAAATACATTGCAAGAATTTCGTTTGAAAATTATTACCTGGTTACGAAAATATTATAGAGTCTCACTCTTTTTTGGTAACATAAACTAGATGAGATTTGTAACTAAGACGTAAGCGACTTCTCGCTATATCTTGAAAATTACGAGAGATTTATTTATTAAGATTTATTCATTATTTATTTAACTCAGGGAAAAGTTAACGGTTAAGACCGTCTTGTGCTTACAGAAACAACCTGGATTTATGAACTGAAGACGTCAGAGAAATGAAATTGAACTAATTTAATCATACATTAGTCGATAGCCTAAACAGACAAAACGCGCGCAAGTTGGCTGAGACCTAAAATCGGCGAGACACGTTTAATGGCGAGAATAACGCATCATGGCAGATGACAGCTTCAAGAGAATCAACTAGTACCGTGGTCTTCAGCAGGCGGAACACGCGCTGATTCTATCATCTAAAACCGTACTTTAAAAATCTCTTTCTTCCTACTAGAAATTAGCATTCTGGCAGGGAAATGGGAAGCTAATTAACATAAAATAACTGATCAATAAAAATAAGTTAATACTGTACAATATATTAACAAGTTCACATCTGAAATGAACATAACAGGACGCTGCATTATAATGATCAGTTTTATTAGAAATTTAGTAATTCATTATTTTATAAATGGTAAAACCATTAGAAATAACCAAAAAAAAAAATCCTTTTAAATAACTTGTAAATAACTTGTAAAGAGATAAAAACAGCGTCGAAATATTGAAAATGCACTAAAATCTGGGCCACATTTCAAGGCAACACCAAGGAATCGCATATTCGTTCTATGAGAAATCAAACAAGAACCAAAAATTAGTATTCTAAAACGTTCAGTAGATTCCGCAGAACGGTTTGCAGTAAAAGTTGTTGACTCTGAATATTTTAGAAGCGTGGATAGAATGGGCGATTAGCAAGAAGGAAATCCTTTGTCAACACGAAAACAAGGAAAATGGCATTTGCAAAGCATTCCCAAAATCTATAATAAGTGACGTATTATCATATTGGAGCGATGCTATATTTACGGAAAAGTCAAAATTTAATATATTTGTGTCCAACAGATGAATTAATGCCTGGCAAAAGTCAAATTAAGAATTGTTTTCAAAAATCCTATGCACGGAAGTAAAGTTACAATAGTTGGAGATGTTTCGCTGCCTTAGAATACGAAATTTTGAGTTTATCGAAAATATGATGACAGCTTTCAAGAGAATCAACTAGTACCGTGGCCTTCAGCAGGCGGAACACGCGCTGATTCTATCATCTAAAAACCGTACTTTAAAAATCTCTCTTTCTTCCTACTAGAAATTAGCATTCTGGCAGGGAAATGGGTTATTATAATTATTTAAACAGTCTTAGTGAAAATCTGAAAGCATATAGATGTAAACTTGGAATGCAAATTACATTCAAGTTCTATCAGGATAACGATCCTAAACATACAACCCCTATGTTCGTTTGTTATCGGGTTATTATGCCACTGTCAAGAAATTATTAAAACTTCTTCATATTCTTTGGACTTAAATCATAAGCAACATCTGTAAAATGAGTTACAGAAAGGAATAAGGAAACATGATACTTATTCGAAAGCTCTACTAAAAGCAATTCTTACGGAGGAAGGGAACAAATGCAACATTCTTACACAAAAAAATTAGTTGAATCTATACCAAAACATATGAAAAGTGTCGTTATTTTCGTGTTTTTATTAAAAATGAACTCTTTTATCAAAGTGTCCGAATATTTATTGGAATTATTTTTCATAATTCCTTGAATAGCATTTGGTAAAAGAAAATAATTTTGCTAACATTTAATAACTGATATTTGCAAATAAACCTGAAAAACACAAGTGCCCGGCAGCAAATGTAAACTGCTGTACTTAAAATGAATTCATTAATGTCAAACGGTAGAAAAAGGTATTTTGACATTATTACACCATTAATTAGTGCCATGAATTTTCTGCTTGTAAAACAAAGAGCTATTCTTGATGTGCCTTTACATTTTCTCGAGAATTATTTGCACACGAAGCTGGCAAAAATTTGCGTTTATAAGACACGAAATTTGCGCGATAAAAACTATAACATCCTCTTTGAAGTATTTAATAAATTAATGCAATAGCTCGCATTAATAATTAAAATTAATAAAATTAATAATTAAAATGCAATAGCTCGCAGTAATTTTCATTTATTTATAATGCGATAAAATGTTTCAAGCACTTCATAAAAAAGGAATATTTTTAAATATAAATATTTAAGTTGATGAAACACAAAGTCCGAAACCTTTACACATAAAGCTCCAAGAATTCGCTCCGATATTTGAAATAATAAATTAAAAAAGAAACTATAATTACTTTGGAGAGTCATTAGGTAATTATTGAAGCAGGAGACATGAAAAACGAGCAATGCCCTCGCCGGGACTCGAACCTTGGACCTCTGTAATACGGGCGAATGTGCTACCGTTACACCATGAAGGCACGCGGAAGCAGGGAAAAAATACTTTATATACGCTCCCTTTCCCTTTTAAAGGGATAGTATATAAAGTATACTCTCCTTTTAAAAGGGCGACGGCAGATTAGAGAATCTCAATCGCCA